CCGCCCGGGGCACCGGCCCCCCCCGTTCCTACTGCACACCCAGTGCACCGACTCACCCCGTTCCTACTGCACACCCAGTGCACCGACTCACCCCGTTCCTACTGCACACCCAGACCCCGTCCTCACTGCAGAGCAGGGTCTGACCCCGGGAAGGGGCCGGCTGTACCTTATACCCTGCTAGCACACCGACGCCCCCTGCAGGGGAAGCATTCCGATCGCTCTGCCCACAGACCAACCCCACCCTCCTCACAGGAAAGAGAGGCCTCCCACCCAGGAGCTCTGATCTCCTCTGCTCCCAGCTCCCACTGGGGACACAGAGCGAGCGTGTCACTTCTCCAGGGGTGTCTCTACGGGCTGACCCAGCCAACCAAACTCTAACTAGCGCGGGTACCAGAGCAGGGAAGCCAAGGCAACACATGTTTCAGCATGGCCTGTACAAGCCAACCGGGACCTCTGGGTAATTACTTGGGGAGCAGCCTGCTCTGAGAACGTATTGCTCCAATACCCAAAGTAGCTAGATTACAGCTAGCTCGGGTACGTGTGGAAGCTGCAATCACCCGTGGTAACTGCAGCACCGGTAGGAGCCAGAAATCCTTTGAAGCACCATGGGAATTGGAGCGGGGTTTGGGGATCTGGAGTCGTGAGGTGAAGAAAGGTTAAGAACGGAGCTGGTTGAGAACTTTGGACCACTTGTTGGGGAGTTTTTCAGTAGGAAAATGCGGATCCATCTAAACCAAAACTTTTCTGCCATTTTGAAGGATTTCTTGACATGAAAAACCCGGACGTTTCAAAACTGTCCAAATGTTTATTTTTACATTTTCTAAATGAAAACTTATAGTTTTCTGGTTCAAAATGAAGTTTGGTTTGGAAATCGAAGCAAATTATATCTATCTTAAAAACGAAAACTTTTACATGGTCGAAGTTGAAACAAAAAGCGTTTCAAACTTATTGAAACAAAACATTTCAATGGACCAGAGCCAAAGTTTTATTCGGATTTTTGGTTTGCAAAAATTTAAGATTTCAACATTTCATCCCGAGTCAGTAAATAGCCAGATGCTGATGCATGAGGGACCGTGTGACATCTCTGGGCGTTAATGTTCTGCCACTGGGTTATTAGCAGCTGGGCACCAACTGTATGTGTGGTAACGTACAAGGCCCACAATGCTGAGTAACCAGGAACCTATATCAGTGCATACTCACAATGAGGAGCAACATCGCCCCCTGCTGTTGAGTATAAAACTACCCCTCCTGACAAGTTCTAAGAGCAGGGTCACAACTAGTCAAATTCTAGAACGTTTGCGCAGGGGCATGGGGGGCATGACAAACAGTGCCACGAACCAAACCATACTGTCAGGCCATATTATATTATGCTTTGAAATCCATATAAACATGCTACATTGTACATGCTAATTCTCACACCATTATTCTAAAACAAACACACACTTTCCCCCAGTCTGTCTGAAGCCATCTCCGCAGCCTATCGATTCCAGTGGAACTATGTGGCATGCCCCTGTTTTCCCCCTTTTATTTCTATCGGTCAAAGATTGGCAATTGTGCAACACAGAGGAAATCCAATGACGTGAATTTTGGGTGATCAGAAATCCAGTTTGCCCCCAAACAACAAAAAGATTTGCACAAAATCTGAATTTCATTTACCCGTAACTCCCGTTCCTACACACGGCTTTGTCTGTGGGGATCATAACTTTAAGGACTAACATTATAGGCCTGATCCTGAGAGGTGCTAGGTGCCCTCAGCTATTGCCAGCTTCAAGAAGAGGTGAAAGTGCTCATCGAGATGGAAGGGACAATCAGCACCAATCAGGATCAGGCCCAGAATGAATCAGATTTGAGACATGGGCCAACCTCATTCACAACCACTACCACCCCAACTGCCTGTTACAATCTGAGGCACATCCTCTCAGGGTGGGGGCTGACTCCCTCACCAAGCTATGGAGGGACTTTGTGACACCTCAAAGTTTATGTATGCATCCGAAGAAGTGGGCTGTAGTCCACGAAAGCTTATGCTCTAATAAATTTGTTAGTCTCTAAGGTGCCACAAGTACTCCTGTTCTTTTCTCAAAGTTTATGTTTCCCCATGTGGTCAAGTGAGCAGAGCGCCCCAGCAGAGCCCTATGCAGCCCCTCCCGGCTTGCCACAGGCTCGTGCATTGGCCTCTGGAAAGCATGGGTCTCCGTACTCATGACCAGTTCAATGGTACAGGAGGAGGAAGTGTGACATCACTCCAAAGGGGGGAGTTCCTACCTCGGGGTCTGCTCCTGCGTTTCCGCCTCCCCATCGACGTGCTGCGCAGGGCCGGCTGGAGCTGGCCGATCTCAATGGGCGTGTTGGTGCGGAAACTCTCCTTGAACTTCTGCATCAAGGACTCCACCGTCTCCTGCGTCGCCTCAGCAGCTACAACGTGGGCAAGGGGGTGAAGGTTAAAAGACGTGCGGACATCACGCGCTGAGGCACTTCCTAAACAGCGCCGGCCCCTGGGGCACCCACCCACCTGGAGCCGAGGCAATGGGCAGCACTGGTCATTTGGAAACAAAAGCTCAGATCTGTCAAGTCGCCTCATGCCAGTCAGGCGACAGGGCTTCCCAATGCAGACAAGGGGCATGAGACTGAAACGCTTTCAGACATTTCAGGCCATTCACCGCACTTCTCAGGCACACACCTGCATTGTGAGAGTCCTGCAACCACATTGCCCAGCAGGGCTGCAGGACACTTCCAATGCGCCTGACTCCAGAGAGCGTGCCTGCTGCAAAGGAACAGCTCATGCCCCCTGTCTGGGCCCACCCATTTCTGCAGGCGGGGTGTCATCATGGCCCCACCTTCTACCCACCTATTTTGGGAGTGCCGTTAAGTTCCTGGAGGACAGGTCGATCAATGGCTATTAGCCAGGATGGGCAGGGATGGGTCCCTAACCTCTGCCAGGGGATCGGCAACAGGGCATGGATCACTTGATGATTACCTGTTCTGTTCATTCCCTCTGAAGCACCTGGCATTGACCACTGTCAGAAGACAGGATACTGGGATAGAGGGACCTTTGGTCTGGCCCAGAATGGCCATCCTTCAGCACCAACCTTGTGGATACCTGGCATTCCCCTGAGTGCAAGGACCAGATTGTACCTATTCCATGATCAGAGGAGCAAGGGAAAGGGAAAGTTTCTTTGTGCTGCCCTCCCCACTTGCCCTCACCTAGTGCTGGGCACAATCCTGCCTGGTTTGTAAGTGTCTTGACACTCTCCTAGACCATGAACTCTTCTAACACCGGCCATTGATAGTACAGTCGTAGGAAACCCTAAGTGAGACTGCACTTTCCCGGGCTCAGCCGAGGGAACTTCCAGATGAACCGAAGTTGTGCAAGCTTTTCGAGAGAAGCAGGGCCTAGGTACACATAAAGCCAGGGCTGATTTGTAGATTTGCAAAGCGATGAGATGTTCACCGCTTCAAGCCAAGTGGAACACAGGGATTTTGCCCAAGTTTCACATTGAGGTTCTAGGGTCTTTTGAACTGACACTCATGAGGGACCAGCAGGGTCGGATCCCAGCCTAGACACGCATGTGCAGCAAACCCAAACCCAAAGCTAAGTTCTGTACATTTTCTACTGGCCCACCGGGAGCAACAATGGCTTCCCAAACCGAACAGGCACCAGCAGAAAATCCCCTCCTTCCAAATTCCATTGGGGAGCGACAGCGGCTGAGCGTGGAAAACAGGGCCCTGCCATGCCACACGCCGAGGGAACGTTTCTCCGTATTTAAAGGACTGTTGTCCTTTCTCTCTCTCTCTCTCTCTCTCTCACACACCACCCCCCCCCCCCTAAGAAGTCGCAATGTAAAGAAATTAGAATTGCTCCATCTAATGCACCAGCAAGTCATGCCTGCAGAGAAGCGGGCAAGTATAGGAAATAATGCAACCACTAGCACACAAGCATGGTGAATTCCAGTACCAAGCCAGCCTTGTGCAGGCCTCTTCAACGGCTACAGAGTCACCCAGGTTTGGGCAAGTTGTTTGTTCCTTGATATTTCCTTAAATATGCTCATCAGCAGAACAGTGGCCTCTGCTCCTGCGTCCATTTTGAATTTCACATTGTCTTCTTGTTATCAGTTCCACAAGCCATCCAAACCTCAGGGTTCTGGCCTGCTTTGGAGTTGGCACAGGTCACCAGGCCTAGGAATAAACTGCCCATAGACAGCTCCCACGCAGGACATTTCCCTTGCCCTCTTCTAGACACTTTGGGGGCTCCTTGGCATTAAAGGCTGCACCACCATCCTTGCCATCTGCTGGGCAACTCACTGGGCCATGCACACACCCAGTGTTGGCCCACCTCACCCAAGCCCTGGTTGGCTCACTCTTTAGGCTTTGCTTCGGTCCTTCCTGGCTTTGCGTTCTTCCATTCACTATGACATGCAATATCATCTTTATCGTAGTGCCCTCCTCATGGTCTGGATCTGGTAGGGTGACCAGATGTCCCGATTTTATCAGGACAGTCCCGATTTTGGGGTCTTTTTCTTATATAGGCTCCTATTACCCCCCACCCCCGTCCCGATTTTTCACATTTGCTGTCTGGTCACCATAGGATCTGGACACTCACTGCCTGTCCCGCATGGCATATGGCTGGGCTAATGCCAGGCAGAGGTGCTTCTCCTAGAACAGCTCTGCCAATCAAACGTCATATCCTGATCCGCAGCACCCCAACACCCTCCTTCACCCCCCACCCAGCTCTGCCAATCAAACGTCATATCCTGACCCGCAGCACCCCAACTCCCTCCTTCACCCCCCCACCCAGCTCTGCGGATCCCCTGCGTTTCTGTAACCACGCTCCTCTCCTAAGCAGAGGGTCCCAGTTGTGCTGTGTTCTGCTGAAGGGTGCAGCGGTTTGGCACTGCGGACAAATGTCAGCTGGGGAAGTGAATTGGCGAAGCTCATTCGCGCTAGTGCTTTCGAGTTTATACTGGGCGGCCGGGATTAAAAGGCTAACGCATTAACCCGCTGCTCTTCCCCGGCACTGAGATGCATCAGATATGTATTTTAATTGGAAATACTCTGGCACCCGGGGTGCTTGGGATCTGTAACTGCCATGGGCCATGGACTCCAATTCTCTTGCCAGCATGGGGCAGAGTCCATTTTAACAGGGAATAGGAAGGCGCTCATGCAGGACGAGGAGCCTGTGAACCCAGCCAAGGATTCAGCTTAAATGCTGAGACTCCTGTGGACAGAGAGAGAGAGAGAAGGCTACCAAAAATTACACGCACAGGGGATGGGAGGGAGGGGAATGAGGATGCATGTGACATTGATGCTAGGGTCCTTTTCCCCTGCTTGCAGGGCACTCTCGCCCAAGCTGTACATGCACCCAAACCAGCCCGCGACAGGTCTCTTGAGCCATACACGTTTGCACTGGCATCCACAACACGTTCAAGGAGCAGAGGGCAATTCCCCAGGAAGCAAGAGCTTGTGAGTGGAGGATGTGGGCAGGAAGGAGGAGGAGGGGGTGAAGGAAGAGGGAATGAGGGTCTAGAAGTGATTGGGAAGGAGATAAAGTATCTGGGCACTTTCAGTCCAGTCCCATGTGGCGACAGGTCCCTCTCCCTTGGGCTCGGATGTAATCAGGGTCTGCTCTGCCCTTCCGTTGCTAGCAGTATAATTTCACACTCAGCGGGGTGACAGCACTGTTCCTAATACCATTAGCTGCTGGACATGTTGATGATTCCCTGTTCCTTTGAAGAGGTTTCACCGGAGCCAGAGATAACGCACCCGAAACTTCCAAATACCCAACTTCTAAAGAGCTCCCATTCCGGAGCAGGCTTATCAGTGCAGACAGCTGCAGCTCCGGGATGGGGTGAGACCCAGCAGGCAGGGGGTGCTGTCTCTGAGGGAGGCGGGATTGCCAATCTGCAAGCAGCCCCAGCATTAGAGCTCCGAGACATCAGTCTCGATGGAAAGGCCGTGTCTGTTACAGGCCAGTGCTGGGCTGTTAATACAAGCAAGCAGCCACACCAGCGTGCGAACCCTTCCCTTGCTTTGACTCCCAAGAACCCTGATGAGGAGCCCCGAGTCAGCAGACACGGTGACCTAGGGTGACCAGATGTCCTGATTTTATAGGGACAGTCCTGATTTTTGGGTCTTTTTCTTATATAGGCTCCTATTACCCCCTACCCCGTCCCGATTTTTCACACTTGCTGTCTGGTCACCCTGGACCTCTCCCTCCCTGCCGATATTATCCTATCACAGGGAAATCTGCTTTCATGCCCTCCCTCCCCCAAAGGCAGTGCTCCATCTATGTGGGCCTTCCACCAAGGTTTCCAGCACAGGTCTGTTTAAGCTGCGCTAAAAGGCTTTCTCCTTTGCAAGACCCCTCCCCACCCCCACTTGCTCCAGCCCCCGAGGTACCGCAGTTGAAAATGCCTGACATCAGCAAACCCTCAAAGCATCTCCCATGCGTTCCAGGGGGTGCCCCCCCTAGGGTTACCAGATGGGATGAAGAAAATATTGGGACACATGGGGGGGGGGGTGGAATCCCGCCAGCGGAGCAAAAAAAGAAGAAGGGAAAAAAAAGCGGAGTCCCGCCAGTGGAACAAAACAAAACAAACCCAGGAGTGCGAAATATCGGGACAAATTGTGTCCCAACCAAACATTGATCGGGACGTGGGACAAACGCCTAAAAATTGGGACAGTCCTGATTTTATCGGGACGTCTGGTCACCCTAGACCCCCCCCCCCAGCTACTGCCTCGACTGCATGCTCAATGCTGTCAGTATTAGCAGAGATCTGTATGCACAGATGCACTGGGCAACCTCAAGTTGCACTGGGCAACCTCAAGTTCACTATGCACTGGGCAACCTCAAGTTCCTCTCCAGGGCCCTGAAAAAGGTTTGGGTGAATATAGGAGGCCTTTTCCCACTCCTGTCTGGAAGCTGCAGGACTCTCTAGCGAGCAGCAGCAGATGAGCTGGGAACGGTTACACACACACACACACACACACACTCTCTCTCTCTCTCTCCAATCCCACTAGCCTGGGAGGAAAGCTTTCAAGTCCTGGATGCACATCGGGCATTGCACCACAGTGCTGCACCAAATACAATTTAAAATGAGACCCATCAAGGAGCAATGATGCAATAGGTCAGAGTAGAGAAGGCTTAGGCTCCCCTTTCAAGGGACCCCAGACAGCTCTGCTGCGGTGTTTGTGTAAGTAGGGGAAGGGAGAAGGGACGGTGCCCATTTCCAGGGGCATGGGCCAGGGAGAGGCACTGCAGGTGGGTAATACCGGATGGGAATACACAGGCCACAGCAAACAGTGAAGGGGTGGGACATTATCCCGCTTTCCCAAGTGACTCAGTTGCTTGGTCTGAGTTCTCACCTCCTCTTGCAGCTGCCTGGGGACTGAGACCGCTGCAGCAAAGCCTCCCTGTG